AGAGAGAGAGAGAGAGAGAGCAACCAGCTGTAGTTTTTTTTGTTAATCTTGTTGTCTAAACTGTTTTCAAAACATAAACATTTAATTAATTTTTTTATTTTCTCTCATATTATGATCACATACTCTACTGTTAGTTAAATTAAGTTAAGTGTTATAAATTGCTCTTGTATAAATAAAAGCTACATGTTAATGTACCAATATCGTTTTCCAACACATTTTTATCATGTTAATGATAACTTGCTAGATTATTTTGAGATCATTTTGTACTTCAATACAGATAATGCCTTGATACAATAAATTTGCCCTTAAAAATATGTAATTAGAAAATTATATTGTTTTATATTTATTTAAAGTATTTATTAAAATGTGCATAACTTATCATGCTTCTAAAGTGTTCATCATGTTTTACAGAGTACAAATCAATTTAAAAAGTAATACAGCATCATGTATAAATTTTTATATCATTATTTAACATGTTAATACTGTTATAAAGTACATTTGTGTGTTAACGTGATAATATCCAACTTGTTTAATCTAATGTATGTGAATTTGAGATAACGTAACACCATGTAAAATAATCATAACGTGTAATTAGGTAGTAAATGATTGCATTTACTAATCATAGGATTAACATTACATTTATAATCACATATTATCTGTTACTTTAAAGGTTAGTATGTTTTGTATTTAAATAGTAAACAATTTCGTTAAGTAATAATAAAATGTTTATTGCAAAACTTTTATATAAAATTTATTATTTTAAATAACAGAAATAATTTTATATTAAAATATCAGAACACTATAATTATGCAAGGTGATTATTTTGTTTTGCATTTAAATAATAGATTTATCAAAGTTACATTATAATTACATTCCTATTGAAATTATTCCTAAACTATAAATACATAAATTGATTGATTTTATTAAAACATAACTAATTTATAAATTTTATAAGTTATTAATTTGTTTAGTTAATAAAAGTTTAGTGTTTCTGTGTTAAATAAGAAATTATACCGTAATTATATTGATTAACAAAACTATCTTTATATTTATAGTAGTAAACTTTTTTAATTTAATATTATCACCTTATTTAATGTAAACTTTATATTATTATTTTACCCCTATTGAGCATTTTAGTAAAAATATTTTATTCTGTACTAGCAGGCATTTATTTGAAAATACTGTGTAAATAATAAAATAGTAATTAATTATAATACATTAAGATGTTACTAATTAATTTTAATAAATTAATAATACATGCACTTTATCATTACGAATACAAGTTCTTCTATTGACAATAACAATTGATTAATAATAAATAGTATTTAATAACATTGTGCTAATTAATTAAAGTTGCATTAACCAAAATAACTAAATTAGATCCCAAAATAATTACCCCAAAACTGATCGCATATATCGTTGAATGGGTTAATAAATAAGTGTTTATCTGTCGATGGATTTAAATCCAGTACTTTTACCATTAATTTATCAATAAGTTGTGGCCAAAAACTATCCGGTTTACTATGAAAATAAGACAAAAATAATCATGATCAAATAAAACACAAAAGCCATATAACAAGTACCAAAACATTATAATTTATAATTTATAAATAACAAAAAACACAACTCATACCCATATTTAGCAAAATCAGTCCACAATCGCATCACTCGTACACTGAAATCAATGTCCTTTTGTGTGTAACCTTCGGGTGCTATGAGTGGTGTACCAAAAACAAACTCACCCTCAGCGCCGTGACATACCTGGCCGGGCGGGCACAGCCAACCTATACCCTTGCCCTGGTATGTTAACTCGTAGAAATAGGCATTACTTTTGCCCGCAGAGAGCTCTTGGTACTTTTTGGCAAACAAATATGTGGGACATTTAATCAGCACATCTCCGTAGTACTCATAGTAGGCCTGTCTCATAGCCTGGGCGTCGCTATGGTTGACATGTTTCACGTAAAACTCGGTAATAGTTGTCTCGTTTAGGCCGTAAAATAGGGCTTTTGAGGCGTTTACTAATTCAACAAATTTTTGAACAGTTATCGTCATGTTTTGTATGCCCGGCGCCACCATCTGTGCCAATGAAGTGCCCTCGTTCTGCACAATGCCCGACAATATGTCCAGATCTAGATAAATACAAATATTTGATCATGGTGTACAAGAAATGACACATCACTATATTCACAACAAAACACATACCGGTGTTATAGTGATGACTAGTGAACGCCTTTTGGGCCAATAGTGGTAAAACACTGTCGCCTTCGAGTGGCATCTGAACCACTTTCGGGTACTTCAGAAAGTCTTTCGCCGGAACCGCTCGCAAACACCGCACCCACTCATCGCCCGTGCAATTGAACCGTTTGGCCAACGCCTGAGTATCTGTCAACTGATCCGTTTTGCTCACCCCTTCCCTACCCTTGTAGTGAAATATAGCGCCGCTTTGCATAATAGCCCTCCGGAACAGACCTTTGGTCAGCGGGGATAAGACGTGTGCCGACACAGACATACTGCCGGCGCTGCCGCCAAATATCGTGATCTGATCCCTATCTCCGCCAAACTGTTCGGCATTTTCTCTAACCTATTAGTTATTAA